GTTCCTTCTCTGAGAGAATTAATCTCATCCCAGGCCTGCTGCAATCCTAAAAAAAGTCCCTTTTGTTTTATTGAAAAAGCCAAATCACACCAAAGAGTGCAAGAAACAAATGCCCTCAGTTTTCATCAGCCACAAACAATTCTAGTAAGAATTACTGCATGACACTATGAGCATCTACTTTTCTCTAGGACTCACAACACTTCTACTTTTCCTCTAAGCTTTAGGATGCTTTTTCCTTCCCCTTGGAAAGAAATGGCATGGACACAGCTCAAAAAACTGAAGCATGTAAATCTAACATTTAACTGAGACAAGCAAACTGGAATTTAAAGCTTCCTAAGCCAGGAGCACTACGCAAAAATTAAAAAAAAAACAAAACAAAAAAGAAATCTCCAATTACTGTACCTTGGGAATGCTTTCTCTTAAGACATGCAGCATCTGATTTCTCCTTATATCCTCTCCATTTGAACAAAGAAGGGAGGGAGAAGGGAGGGAGGTAGTAGAGAACTAAAAGTAAAAACACTGAGCTTCAAAGTAAAATTTTTAAAAGGGGTGTCATTTTTTTTTTTCATTAGTATCACCATTTTTAGGAAAAAAAAAAGAAAGAAAGAAGTCACATTTTCTAGAAAGAACTAAAATGTATATATTAAAAAAAAAAAAAAAAAAAAAAAAACCAACAGATTTTGTAGCAGAAGTGTGAGGTCCCAAATTCAATTTTTTCACTCTTCACAACCAGTTATGACATCACAAGAGAGCTAAAGGCATCAGTAAGAGGCACTGGGACATGGTGCCACCAGAGTCACCTAAAGCATCATCTACTCCTTGGTACAGGGTGGAACACACTGACCCTGACTAAATGTACACTAAAAACCTTCATTTTAAGCACAGCTCTGGGGTTTTTTCCTCACAAAGGGTGTAAGAGGATGGTTAAAAGTTAGATTAAACAAAATCTCCTGCTCCTGCCCTGTTCTGCAAGGTCTCAGCAGTCCCTGATCCAGCAGTTAGTGACATTCCACACTGGTGTCACCTGCCCCAGGTATCCCAAGAGCTCTCAGCACAGGTAAAAATGAAATGTATTTATTGTTGCACATCACTTCTCTGGGGGGGAGGAAAATCAGGCTCAGAGCTACAGCACTGGGGATTCCACAGAATAATTTAATTTGCAATATTGTACTGGCTTTTTGCTTCCCTCAGGAAGAATCAACACAGGAAACTCAAGGAAAGTAGAAGAAAAATTGCTTTTCATGGTGAGGGTGGTAAAATACTGAACAGGCTGCTCAGAGAGGTTGTGGAGTGTGTTGTTGGAGATACTGAAAATCCCACAGGAAACATCCTGAGCGAGCTGCTCTCATCAGATCCACGGCTCTGAGCAGGGAGGTTGGATTTGAGCATCCCCAGAGATCCCTCCTGACCTGCACAAGTCTCCAATTCTGTTAACAGAACTTTCCCATCTAAATGTTAACTTAGCTGTGCCAGAAATCCATATGAGTTTTTATACAGTGAGAAAAAACTATTTGAAAGCTAAGAGGGAAAAAAACAACAAAAATCAGCCCTTCCAAATACAATTTTTAGAGGTTTTGTGGCCTTGACCACACGCTGAAATTCTGTAAGAAAAAACCCCATAGAGTTCTGCTGTCTCAAAATCAATGCATTGAAATATTAATTCTAACTGACAGGATTCTTTATTTTTCTATGTCTGTCATGGAATCACAGAGTATTTTCTGGCAGAGGGACTGCTGGGGTTCATCTGCTCCAATCCTCCCCACAGATCAGGATCAACTTCAAAGTCAGATCCAATTTCAGGTTTGAATCAGGTTGCTTGGGTGATTTCCAGCTGCATTTTGAGCATCTCTCTGTGCAAGTACAAAGAGCTGTATCTGTTCCTATCCTACCTTCCCATCCCATAAATAAAGCTTTCAGCTTCACTCCGTCATCACTAAATGAATATAGCTGAAAAAGATCATGGAGCAATGGATGACAGGAACTTAAAACTGGTCTTGTTTTATCTGACAGCAGCCTGGATATGCCAGAAATCTCTGCAAAATGCTGTCCCTTGGATGGGCTACTTCAGAGAGGTGCTGAACTCACTGTCTGCCTAAATATGAAGAAAAGGCAGTTTCTAAATCTTCTGCCATTCTGTAAATTTTAAGTTTATTCACTGCTACATAGATGTCCCTCTCCAGCTCTCCTGGAGCCACTTCAGGCCCTGGAAAAGGCTCTGAGCTCTCCCAGGAGCCTTCCCTTCTCCATGTGAGCACCCCCAGCTCTCCCAGCCTGGCTCCAGAGCAGGACACAGAACTCAGGGAGATAATCCCTTCCCTTGACCTGCTGGCCAAGCTCCTTTTGATCAAAAAGTGCCTCATTTCTGCACCCTGCCATTAAAACAACAATTTATCTGATGCACTGAAGGGGATCAGGCACCAAGAGGAGTCACTGGCATCAGGCATCATAAACCAAGCTCCTTTTTTATTAAATGCAATTAAATGCTTTGTGAGGATGAAAATCAAAATGCAAATTACAGATTGCTCAGCACAGGAGTGATCTCCAGGCTGCCCCATGGAAAACAGAGCCTGGGGAATCACTCTCTGTCATCTGTGCTTTCTGTTCCCTTCTGCATTTAAAGCTCCTTGCGCTCCCAAAAACACAAAATACTTTTTTTTTTTTGCAAAGAATAACACAACCAAATGTCAGCATGGGCATTATGTTATATGTGGGCTGCAGGTTGAAGACCCTCCTCCTGAATAATTCTGCACTTTCAGAGGAAGGTTTGCTGGATTAACAGTTTAATAATGGGCCATTTATCCCTCCTATCACCACCAAGAGCCCTGGAAGAAGCTCGGTGATTTCCTTGTTAACACGCTGCAATCCAGGATTAATACATTTAATACAATTAATAGAATTAATAAATTTAATCACTGGAGTAATTCTTGGTACAAAGGGGCTGTTACAGCAGCCTGTATTAATTTTGCTGAGGAATCAGAGGGCATGGCCAATTTTTCATCTCTCACAAGGTTTTATCACAGCACAGGGAACAGTCACTTTGCTTCCCAATGGATATTTCCAGATTTATCTCAACTTTCACTGATCATAAATAACAGGTACCTGTAAACCCTGATGGCACCAAAAACTGCTTCGTACAGGATGCAATTACAACAAAATGGAGCATTTAAGAAATTTATGAACTGAATTCAGCTAATTTTGTTTATTTCACCAGTTGCAGGGCTTCTCCCAGTGCCACTGCAGATGGCATTTGTGGATGCCAGAGGATCCAAGAGGTACTGAGAGGCAAATCAGAATGACAAAACCACTTTTCACACACTGCCAGCTGTAACAGTTCTGCATCTCTCCTACTATTACCAAAACACCCCGTTGAAACCTACTGGTGACTTGACAAATATACCATTGAAATGATGCCATGCATAGCTTGGGATTTTTGTTTGGTTTTTTGGGGTTTGCTTTTTGGTTATGCCTTTTTTCTTTTCTGACTTTGGTTTCAGAAGAGGCACTGGCACCTGAATTTGGAGTTTTTCTGATCTTTTACATTTTCATAGATGTGGTCATATCTGTCTCATCACTCTCCTCAGTCCATCCAACATCAAATCTGAAGATTTCTGTTCCATAGTTCAGACTTTATCTGAAAAAATCCCAACCCTGATCTCTCTTATTTACTCTATAAGGAGAATGCAAGTACCACTGCAGCCTTCCCTCAAAAAATTAAACCACCAAAGGCTGGGAGCACTTGGCAACCACAAAGATTTGCTTTCCATGTAAAAAACCATAAATCCCTGCCACTAACAACCCTGAGCTCCGTGCCTCTGGGACAATAAATCAGAAATACAGGTAGAAGTGCCTTCCAGAAGGATGTTTGCACAGGCACAGCGCTGTGGCTCAGGGCTCACACCACTTCATGCACATTTTGGACAGAGCTGTTCCAGCAGGAAATTGTTCTGCAGCCTTGGCCAGGTGAAAAGATATTTTAAAGCAGCAAAAATAAGGAAAAAAAATATTCATAAAGTCCTCACTAGTTTTAAAGGGGAGTCAGAAACTCTCTGTAATGCTGAAAAAAACTCCCTATATCAACAAATGACACTTCAGTTTTTCTGTCAGTGATTACTGAATTACCCTGAGTATTGCTGGGCTTCCAGTTTATGAACAAGGCTTCACTTGTGTGGTCACACATAAGAAGTCATGGCCAAAACACAGCCATTCCCACACTGTCTAACTGCTTTGCACAAAGCTCCACTTCAAAAATAAAGTTTCTTTGTAAAGAATAACACAACCAAATCCCTGCTGAAATATCTTGAGGGCCCTCTGTCCTTGCAGCTTGTGGTTTGTAGATTGCTCAAGCAAGAGACAGCCAAAGTGTGAAGGGCAAAAATACTGAATTTTTGCTGTGCAATACCTGCTCTGAGCAATCAATCCAACTTTAATGTGTACATTAAGTAACAGACCAGTAATTTCAGAATTTTGAAAATGTTCCATGCAGCAGAGCAAGATTCCCAGCAACACTACCTGGACATCCTCAGCCTGCTCATTAAAATGTAAGGACTTCCCCAACAGAATGAATGGCCAAGATTTACTGCAGCTGAAAACTAATAAATCCAGCCTGAATCAAAATGGAAAATGGAATGTGATTTGTAAAAATGATCCCACTCCCTTTAGGGCAGAATTGGGGATGCTGAGAGAATTAGGGATTGCAGAGAGCCATCAGCCAGTTTGCCTTTGGACACTGACTCCTCTTGTCCCATCAGGAGATTTTAGTTTGAAATGAGATTTCAAACATAATTAGAAGATATGAAACACAACGGGAACAAGAAGTTTCTGTAATTTTTACAGCATTCCCCAAATGTGCTGCAGCAGGAAATCCCACAATGAAAAATGGGAGAACAAACTGATATTCCCCAATTTATAGGATAAAAAAACCAAAGATCACACTCTTACTGAAGATAAAGCAGACCTCAAGTGTCCAAAAAAATGTATTATAGTGATCTAAACAATCTTACCCTCCTTGCCATCAACAGGTTTGGATATTTCCATTTCAAAGCTCTCCTGCAGCTGCTGGCCTTTGAAGCGGTTCAGATGCTCCTGCTCTATTAAATTACTTTCCTCCTCTTCCAGAGGTTGCCAAGTGCCATCAATAAACCACTGTCCACGCATTACAGGGATCTTTTCCGTCTCTAAAAAAATAAAAATACAAAAAAAAAAGAGGGTTTTTTAAAGCAACCAATCACAAATTGAGAGCAGGAAATGTAGTGTGATCTGCAAACCTGAGCTAATGAGATTTCCCAGCTGTGTGTGAGGATGAGAGAGATGGACAGGAAAACAGAATCCCAGAATGGTTTGGGTTGGAAGAGACCTTAAAATGCACACAGTGCCACCCCTGCCACGGCAGGGACAACTTCCACTACCCCAGCTTGCTCCAAGCCCTGTCCAGCCCAGTCTGGGACGCTGCCAGGGCACTTCCAACAACACAAATTACACAACAATTAGCATAAATGATGGTATTTAGAAACTCAAGTTGTTTTTTTTTTTAAAAATTAAAATCAATGTTTTACTGAGGGCTGGTTTTGGCATCTGCTGTTCTCGTTTCGGTTCTCCAAACGAGGAATGTGGGAACTCAGCATTTGCTATGCACGTGGCAGAAGAGAAATCTCTTAAAAAAATATAACTTGGTGCTTATTGTATATCAAACTGTGCTTCACTGCTGCCCACATTTACAACATTGAACAAAAATTCCCCTCTTATACCCAGGACAGTGACATCCACTGTAACTCAGCTTTGAATTCCTCCTCCTGCATCTGGAAAATCAAGGATTCAGCAAGCCTCAAAGATCCCAAAACCAGGTTTTTATGAGATTAAGACAGATTTGGGTCTGCTGAGAGCACAGAGCAGTGGGACCAGTGACCTCCAGTGCACACTGGGAGTGTACATGTGTGTGTGTGTATATATACTTATATATATATTTATATACAACTATATATATATAAAAAATATATACACATATATACACATTTATACATATAAATATATATATTTATACATATATGTACCTTTTTATATATATACACACATATCCATATATATACATACACATATATAGACACATATATATATATATGTTTGTATAGACTGACTCAGCCAAAAGCAAATATCCTGTTTGTGTTACACTTATCACAAAGATTTAGCTCTACAAAGCAAATAAGAACTCAACCACAAAAAAAGGCTTAAAAAAAAAAAAAGGAGATGAGGGGAAAAAAATAGGCTTCACTGCTCCAAGATCTGTTCTGACCTGGAGTGTGGAAAAAAAGCTGGTAAGGAGAAATTGGAAAAGAAACAAGAGATGCAAACATGCAGTTAATGAAATTCAGGTGTAATTAAACATGGAGCAATAGATTTCAGAGTGACTGAGCACAGGAGGGATCTCTTTGATCTCTCAGCACAGCTGGGAGGGGTGACCCAGCCACGGGCAGAGGTTTTTGGTCTGGTCCCAAAGCTCAGGTCCCAAAAACTCCTGGTTCTGTGCTGCCTCCACTACAGACACACCAGCAGTGCTGGCTGTGCCCAAAAGTCACTTCCAAAGTCACCGACTGCTGCCAGGTGAGAACGTGACAGAGAACTGCAAACACCTCCACAGTTCACTCAGAACCCCTCACCTCCTCTGAAGTTTTCACCCCTCAAGCCACAAAAACAAAAGGAAAGTCACCTCAAAATCATCTCCCCGCTGGGCAAGCAACACTCCAAAGGTGCCACAGACAATTTGGAAGCTTTTCTGTACCAGATTTACAGGAAAACACCACTTCCACAGCCCCAGCAGTGCCGAGCAGCTCCCACCTCTGTGGCAGCAGGAGGGCACACAGCTGGGTGATGGCACCTTGGCACAGCTGGCAAGGAAAGGTGAGCAGCAGGAAAACACAGAAATAGTGCCAGAGCCAGTTCTGCCATCCTGCCCTCCTAAAATAGCTGCTCCAGGTGGGAGCAATTGCTGTGTGCTGGATTCCTGCTGCTGGGGGTGTTCATGGTCCATCAGCTTGAATAAAGAGGTTGGGGTGCTCTAAGGGTGTGGAAATTAATCCTTGAAAATACCAGAAAAACCAAAGTTCTGAGTGGCTGTAAAATGCACAAGTCAGCAGTGCCTGCAAGTTGCACAGCAAATTCAATATTTCATGAAAATTTAGATTAACTTTGGAGTCTACATCCCATCAATGCAGGGATGGGTGAAAGATGAACATTTATTTTTCATGAACTGAAAGTTAACCACACCAGTCTCTTTCCTTAACCTCTGCTGCATTCCCAGATATTTCACACCTGTCAGAAATCCACATTTTTCAGCGCACACAGATCCAGCCGGGCTGCCCTCCCAAACAAAGCTCTGTCTGTAGGAAGAAATGAAATGTGAGGGGAGATAAAGGCTCCCATTGTGGCTGCAGCAGCGACAGGGCTACGTCAGATGTTAATCCTCACTGGGAAAATCTGTGAGCAATTCCTTAATTCTTGACTAAGCAGCCTGATGAGGCTCCATTCACTGAATCCACAGGCAGAGATATGGTTTTTTTTAAATAATAATCATATGAATACTATTTTGTACTCCAAACTAAGTGAACACAAGACACCTCTTTTTTGAGTTTTGAAGGGCTTCAAGTTTTTCACATGGGAATTTCCACCTACAGATCTCTAAAATTCTAACTATCAAGTATTAAAATAAATATTTTCAGGCTCTTTTTGCCTGAGAGAAACTTTCCCAGAGTGGTTCCTTACAAGAGCAGTCCACAGCACTCAACAGCAGCTCTCAAACGTATCTTGAGCCCTTCCCAGAAAGGCTCAGCCAGGAAAAACTGTTTGAATTGAGAAAAATTTTCACATAAAATCTCTGCAGAACACTTGAGTTTGGGAATAAATGTGATATTTGGCTTTGGAAAGGGTGTTCATACGCAAATATAAATTATTTTCAGATCCAAAGGCAATTAAGGAGGTTTGAAAAACAGAGTGAGGCAGTTCTGTTTTCCAGCTCTGTGGGATTTTGGGGGGACCAAGGAATTGCCTTCTTTTCTTTTTCCCCACTCCCTCCTCTAAACAGTTGCACACCCTCAGAGCAGCCAAACCAGCCTGAACCACAAACTTCTTTTATTTCCCATCACAAGCTGGGGGGGCAGGTTTGAACCCTGAGCTACAGGAAAGCCTCAAGAGAAAACCACCTGGAAGGGGAGGAGGATGAAGCCAGAAAATGACATTTCCTGCCATCAGCAGCACGGTTTGGCTCTCAGAAACCTGAACACAGCCCTGCAGAACTGAGAGAATCAAATCTGGGATCACAGCACACAAAACCCACATTTCCTGTGGAGCCAGGCTGGGAGAGCTGGGAATGTTCCCCTGGAGAGGAGAAGGCTCCAGGGAGAGCTCAGAGCCCCTGGCAGGGCCTGAAGGGGCTCCAGGAGAGCTGGAGAGGGACTGGGGACAAGGCATGGAGGGACAGGACACAGGGAATGGCTTTAAACTAAAACAGGAGAGATTAGGAGGGAATATTAGGGAGAAATTAGGGTTGGCACGCCCTGGCACAGGGTGCCCAGAGCAGCTGTGGCTGCCCCTGGATCCCTGGAAGTGTCCAAGGCCAGGCTGGACAGGGCTTGGAGCAGCCTGGGATGGTGGAAGGTGTCCCTGCCATGGCAGGGGTGGAATGGGATGGGATTTAAGGTCCCTCCAACCCAAACCATCCCCTGACTCTCTGACAACCTCCAATTCTATGACAAACTCGTTGAGAGATTGAATTAAAAACAAGTTTAAAAATAATGGCCTTGCAAAAAGACCGGGTATTTTAGAGAATTAAAACTGCGAAAGATGCATTGCAGCAAGACCACGTGGGATAAAAATATAAGTGATTGGTGTTAAAATAATAACAACACTGTGTAGCAAAAGGTAATAGGTTAAAAAAACATTTATAAGGTATTGTAACCTATTACCTTATTAAGAAATAAGTGAGCTTTTGATAGAATAGCATTAAGTTTTACATCTCTTGTGTCTCACTATTCATCAAGACTGATAATGGAAGAAAATTCTTTAAAACACCTCTCAGTTCCCCCATCTCTGTACAAGCTGATAAAACCAACAACAACCAAATTTCTGAAGGCCACCAGCTCCAAAAGCAAGTGAGACTTCATAAATGAAAACAGGGAAGTGCATCAGTGGTAATTCCATGGAATACTCGGGATGGGGTGGGGAAAGAATTCCACACAAGGGGTTTTTCAGTAAAATCTGTGACACTGGGAGAGAGGTTCCTAACCACAGCTCCTCTGTTTAATCCTGCATGGGGCTGTCACTGAAACACTCCCAGGTTTAGTCCAGAAGACTTGATGCAAACTCGTGACAGCAAAGAGCATTAAAAAGTGATGAACCACAATTGCCATTTCAGCACCCAATTTCACCAATTTTTTAGCTCTCACTTATCCACCTTCAATAAATTCATTCATTCTTGCATATTCAGATATTTCAGAAAGCTTAAACTACATTCTTCCAGCTACTTTTGTTTTATGGAAGAGTAAAAAACACTGGAATTGCATCATGTTGTAATTTAATTTATTTTTCCTCAATATAGAAATCCAAATCTATAACATGAAGTGTTATTTATCCTTATCCCTACAATCTCAATCCCTAGGAAAGGATTTGCCTTGGTTTCTTTACTGCCTTAAGTCTTACACCATATAATCTGCAGCTGGCAGTGCTTCAGACTGAAAGATATCAACATATTTGACTAGTTATACACTTCCATGGTTTATTTATAAAAGAATTTCTAAATAAATCTGAATGGTGGAGATTTAAAGTAGATGAAAACCACTTAATTTTAATTAGTCACACGTATTTTACCACTTTTAGAGGAAATCAGTTTAAGAGATTTACTCTGCAACAAAGGATTTATTTTTGCACAAATGGATCTTTTTTTCCCCCTTGAAAATCCAAAGAATATAAGAATACAAGTGCTGTAATTAATGGTGTGATAAGAACATGAGTGATTTGCATTATGATAATCACCAAAATCCCCATAATAACGAGAATTATGTTAAAATAAAAACTGTAGGCAACATACAAACTACTGCATGTGTGTAGTATATGTGTATAACCCAGCTACTCCTCCTTCATGAAGATCTTTAAAACTGTCTGATCACATCTAATAGAAATTGGAATAAAA